TGATGAGGAGCTCAGCAACAGCAGAGAGAGACCCAGCTTGGCTCCTGAATCCAGAACAGCCCAGACTGAAGTTTCCTGGCATTTAAAGAATCACCTGGGGAGACAGAACCTATCCTTGGGCAAATACCTGGGTGTTCTAGAAAGTACTTTCGGTACCTGAGAGATACTTAGTGGATGTTATTTGGAGAAGGAGTAGGAAATGCCGGTAGCGAGGGAACGGTTGAAGGTGGTAGAGAAAGATGAAAGAGATCAAGATCAGAAAATCTGGGAGTTAAGATTTGGGGGGAAGCCGGGCGGTGGTGGCACACGCCTTTAATCCCAGCACTCGGGAGGCAGAGGCAGGCGGATCTCTGTGAGTTCGAGACCAGCCTGGTCTACAAGAGCTAGTTCCAGGACAGGCTCCAAAACCACAGAGAAACCCTGTCTCAAAAAAAAAACCAAAAAAAAAAAAAAAGATTTGGGGGGAAATTCTTTGGGACTCCAGTGTGAACTGTAAGAGATGATGTGTGGCCAATTGGAAGCTTCGTTCTCCAGCCTGACTTCTGAGTGAACTGCTTCCCTCTGCTCTGCATCGGCCCAGGTTCCGGGAGGAGGACTACACCGTCCACGTGCGGCTAAACGACTACCTCGACATCATCTGCCCGCATTACGAGGACGACTCTGTGGTGGAGGCTGCCATGGAGCGGTATACACTGTACATGGTGGAGCAGCCCGAGTACGCGGCGTGCCAGCCCCAGTCCAAGGACCAGGTCCGTTGGAAGTGCAACCAGCCCAGTGCCAAGCATGGCCCGGAGAAGCTCTCTGAGAAATTCCAGCGCTTCACACCTTTTACCTTGGGCAAGGAGTTCAAGGAAGGGCACAGCTACTACTACATCTGTGAGTACACAAGGGACAGGTCACAGAGCACTCGTGGCCGGCAGCATGTGCCTGGGTCAAGTAGCAAGAGCCCCGCCCCCCTTCCAGATCCAAACTCAGTTTTCTCTCATTCATATCGCAGATGTGGAACAAGCTTCAGGTGTGTGCTAGGCACTCAGATTGGCACATGGGCACAAAAATAACTAAAATATTCCTAGCCCCTGCCCTCAAGGAAACTGGGAAGAAACCCACATAAATCTTCAGGCCAGTAGAAGAGTATGGTGTGACTGACGTGAACACGGGGCACTTGGGGAAATGACCTGTGTGCCTGCCAAGGTCAAAGACAGCAAAGACTGTGTGGAATGACAAGTGCAAGGGCGCGTGCGCCAAGGGAGAGTGACCTCTTCTAGAGCTCCCGGAATGAGAGGAGGGCGCATGCGCCAAAGGAGGGCAAACACTTCTAGAGCTCCCGGAATGACAGGCGTACGAGGGCGCATGCGCCAAGGGAGAGTGACCACTTGTAGAGCTCCCTGAATGAGAGACATGAGAGGAGGGCGCATGTGCCTTGGGAGAGCGACCACTTCTAGAGCTCCGGAAATAAGAGGCATACGAGAAATACAGTAATGGGCTTGAAAAGTGAATAGGACAGATTCTTGGAACCGAAATACTATTAGGCGTTTATACTTCGTCCTGAGGGTGGCAGAACTCATTGATGAATCCTGAGAGTTACAAGGTCCAGGGCTCTGTGAAGGCTAGATCCAGGACCTGTTCTCTGCTTGGGTCTAGGCTAGCACAGTAGAAAATGGCCGGAGGAAAGGGAAATTACACTAAGAACACCTCACCCAACTTCAGGCTGGGAGCCATGAGAAATGGGATGTGTAGAAGGGACATTGTCACTACCACGGCTAAAGTTGCGTGTTGTTCCGGAGAATGAGAGACAGGACTGAACACTGATCAGAAAGTAGGCAAAAACTGAAGGTAAATAAATATCAAGATTAGGCAAGGCATGGGGGCTCGCAACTGTAATCCCAGCACTCAAGAGACTGAGATAGGAGGACTCCTGTGAATTCAAGGGTAGCCTGGGCTACAAAGTTTCAGGTCAATGTGGGCTAGAGTAAAACCATGCCTAAAACAAACTGAATAGGGGCTGGGCATGGTGGTGCATGCCTTTAATCCCAGCACGCAGTGAGTTCAAGGCCAGCTTGGTCTACAGAAGGAGTTCCAGGACAGCTAGGGTTACGCAGTGAAACCCTGTCTCAAAAAAAATAAATAAATAAATAAATAAAATGAATGAATAAATAAAATAAGAAAGCAGTTACTGCATAAACTTGATAACCTGAATCCTGTCTGGAGCCCATGTGTGCTGGCTGCCATGGCCCTGGAGCCCACAGGAAAGGGCAAAGACAGCAGAACACGTTTGTAACCCCAGCACTCCTATCTGGTGATGGGAGGCAGGGACAAGAAAATTAACATTGGTGGGGTGTGGCGGCCCAAGCCTTTAATTCCAACACTTGAGAGGCAGAGGCATGTGTATCTGAGTTTGAGACCAGCCCGGTCTACAGAGTCAATCTCAGAACTGCTGGGAGTTTGTAGAGACCCTGTCTTAAAAAAAAGAGAGGGAGAAAAAGCAGAGTTCTTTTTACAGCCTTACTGAGCATGCAGTACAGAGGCAAGATGGACAGCAAGAACTGACCCCCAACATTTGTGCTGTCTTTCACACACTAAAGAAGAAGAAAGCAAGGTTTAAAAATAAATAATAATAATAAAGGTTGTATATGGTTTGGATGCTTTATCCAGCACTCAGGAGGCAGAGGCAGGTAGATTTTTGTGAGTTTAAAGCTTGCCTGGTCTACATAAAGAGTTCCAGGGCAGTCAGTGCGACATAGTGAAATCTTGTCTTAAATAAATACAAAATAAATTTTAAGTAAACAGGGCACTGAGAAAGCAGAGTCAAATGTGAAATCATATCTTCTAGCAAAGGCTCTTTCCTTAACATCCTATGGCTTTATTTTACAGCCAAACCTATCTACCATCAAGAAAACCAGTGCTTGAAGCTGAGGGTGACCGTCGATGGCAAAATCAGTGAGTGTCAGGCCCTGTGGGTGCCTCCAGGCTGAGCATGAGCCTGGGATGGGGAGGAAGTTGCCTCTTTGCCTCCGTAGCGATACCTGATCTATTACCATTCTTGTCTTTCAGCTCATAGCCCTCATGCCCATGCCAATTCACAGGAGAAGAGAATTCTAGCAGGTAGGGCACTAGAGCCAAGTGGGCCTGGGTCACAGGAAGGGTTTGCTAATAGAAGCAGTTCCTTTGCCACCCAGGGGCTGGCTGGAAGGTGGTGCAAACAGCGGGGCCACTTACCTTGTCTCTGCCTTCTCACCTGCAGACGACCCGGAGGTTCAGGTCCTGCACAGCATCGGTTACAGTGCTGCCCCCCGACTCTTCCCACTGGTCTGGGCTGTGCTGCTCCTGCCGCTGCTGCTACTGCAAACTCAGTGAAGGTGGATGCTTCACCTGGCTTAAGGATTGGAACTGGGCCGCGGAGCAGGGAGAAGCACCCCAAAGCTCCAGCCCTGGGGACTCCCACTACATGCTCAAGCTGCCACCCTGAAGCCTCAGAAGGCTCAGGATTAAGGGTTTCAACCCAAAGGAGTTCAACCAGCCTGACTGTGCCATTCCTGCCTCCACTTCAGAGGGATGGAGAAAGAAGAGGAGGAGGTCCTTTCCCTGCGATTTTTACCTTTAAGCCAAAGAAACAAGCTGTGCGGGCCTGGACCATTTAGAGGGCCCAGTGGGAGATGAGCTGGGGGCCTGAGGTCATGCAGTTAGACACTAAAGACGCCCTTCCAAGGAAACTCTGATGTCCAGATGAACTGACTGAAGGGAAAGCTTGAGACAGCTTCCTGCGTGGGAGCCAGGTACAGGAGAGGCTGCATGCTTGGGCTGACCCAGCATCTCTGCAAGATTTCCACCTGCTGAGCTGCTAGAGAGGTTTGTAGCCAGGCACTGACTGCATCCTCCCCGTCCTTCGGGCAGCATTCCCTGGAGCTGTGCCAACACGAGGACTATACTGAGAGTATAGCTGTAAGGGCAGTGCCCATGTGTACCGTCTGTGTAGAATGTAGCTAAAAGGGCAGGGCCCACAAGTACAGTGTCTGTATATAAATGTGCTGCGTCTGCTCGTTTCTACAACTGGAGTTTTTTTTTATACAGTGTTCTTGGATCATAATAAAGCAATGTTTTTGGTTTTTTTGGACATGTTTTTCTGCCCCTGTATGTCGATTCATGATCACAGAGTCCCTACTGTGTGTTAGACTCTGCCACAGCAGGAGCCATGCAGGACACAATAGGGGCTGCTATGATACACACCTAGAATCCCAGCTACGCTCCAGGCTGAGGGCGTAAGATTGCAAACTTGAGATAAGCATGGGCAACTCAGACCTTGCCTCAAAAGCAAAAACAAGGGACTGGGAACGCACCTCAAGAAGAGGAGTGCTAACGTAGTGTGTGTGAGCCCTGAGTTTGCTCCTCAGCACCTCAAGAAGTGGAGTGCTAGCCTAGTGTGTGTGAGCCCTGAGTTCGCTTCTTGGCAGCACAAAGCAGACGGAGCCAGACACAGCGTGACGCAGGCGTGGCATGACGCTAGCCTGGAATCCCAGCACTTAGAAGGTTGAGTAAGAAAACTGTCAAAACTTCGATGCCAGCCTGGGCTACAGTGTGAGACCTTGTCTCACAAATAACAAAATAAGTAAATAAATGACAAAATTAGTAAATGACTAGGATGGGGGGGGGGTAGATAAAATACACAACTTGGTTTAACTTCTCTTTCTAAAAAGACATGCTTCTTACCAGGCCACAGGGTGTTTCCTCCTCTGAGGGCTCTGCAGAATTCCCTGTAGTCTGCGCTGGATCCCCTCCGCACCCCGTTCTAAATGCTTTCCCCTCCTGGCCACTCTACCCCACTCGCCTCAGCCTCAAGCGCAGGGCTTTGGCTACCATACAGGTACTCACGCTGTCTGGGTGAGTCAGGAGCTAGATGCCAGCTGAAGCATGTGCGCAGCCCCACCAGCAGAGCCGCGTGGGCGGATGGGAGGGAAAGTTCCCAGTAGGGAGTATGTTGAACAGGGGGCCGCAGAGAGTTGTCCATGGATAGGAAGGGCATCTGAAGAAAGATGGCAATTCCTGGTATTTAGGGGACAGGCTAAAAGGATTTTAATGACCTCCAGGGGAAACTTTCTAAAGCTGAGTAACCAAGGTTCTGATTTGGAGCGCGCTGAAGACTGGGGGAGACTAAATCTGGTGTTTGCCTTCTAGCATACAAGGTCTTGTGGGAACAGACATTAAGGCTGGTGGTCATCAAGGAGTGAGCAGTGTGAGGAGGAGCCCGGTAGGGGACAAATGCGCGGTCCCTACTAAAACCATTAAGCGCCATCCGAAGGGGAAGCTCGGGAACCAATCCAGCCCTCCAGCGTGCAGCGCTGGTGTGCCAGAGGCCCCAGTTCCGGTGCCGTTCCGGAGAGGGCGGGTTCCGGCGCCGGTCCGCGGGGAGGGCGGGGCTTCGCGGTCGCCTGCTCTGGACCTAAACAGCTAGTGCACAGCGTTGGGCGAGGGAACCGACTCCGGTGGGATGGAGGCGGGCGGCGTGGCAGACTCATTCCTTTCCGGTGCCTGCGTGCTATTCACCCTGGGCATGTTCTCCACTGGCCTGTGAGAGCGCGGGTGGACTGGGCTGGAGACAGGACCAGGATATCAGGAGAGGAAAGTGGTTAAGAGACGGGGCTACAATTATTGGCTGTGTCTGGAACCCAGAATGAAAGTGGAATAGGGCTGGATGATCTGGGGCGCTAGGGCGAGGCTGACCCGTCAGCCTGAGGGAGGAGATCTGCTTGTCGTTCAGGGTGGATGACAAGCACCGAGGACCCATTCTTAACAATTCCCTTTGGGTCCCCTTCCAGCTCGGACCTCAGGCACATGCAGAGGACACGGAGCGTGGACAGCATCCAGTTCCTGCCTTTTCTCACCACGGATGTCAAGTGAGAATATTGGCTGTGATGGGAAAGGCGGAGGGAGGCGCAAGAGGTCTCTGGGGACCCCCCTGCCACATTCAGCCCCTTGGACCATCATCCCTCCCCTCACAGCAACCTGGGCTGGCTGAGTTATGGCGTCTTGAAGGGAGATGGGACCCTCATCATCGTCAATACCGTGGGTGCCGTGCTTCAGACTCTTTATATCCTGGCATACCTGCACTACAGTCCTCAGAAGGTAGAGGCCCACCCTCGCACCCACCTTTGCTCCACGCCCTGCCGCGTTAGCAGAGCAGACCGTTTCCTGGAAGACTAGTGGGATGGCATTACTTCCTTTTCTTAGAAGGCCCTTCTGGTTCTCCTTCCCAGGAAGCCTACAAAATGCACTCACAGCTACCCTCCCTCCTCTTGCTCACGAGGCTGGTGGCTTCCCTAGTGGTGTCAGTGCTGGGGAGAGGGGACTATATACTGTCTCTGGTCCCTTAGAGTTAGAGCCAGGGCCAGGGGCTAAGAATGGCCATTAGGTCTGCTTTCCCACTCAATCACAGAAACATTCATTTGTCTCCTACTGTATACGTGAGGCTCACATGAAAAGGGGAGAGAGAAAAAAAAGATCAACTTTCCCTTCCCTGGAGTTCTTGTAGCTGAGATTTCCTTCAAGTAACTGGTGCCAGAGACTGGCATGAAGCTGGGGTGAAAGCTGACTTCCCCTTTAGAGCATGGACCAAGACAGGACGAAGCAATCCCACCAGAGAAATCATGTTCTGGTGTAGCCTAAGTAAGCTGCTTCTCCTCCACAGCACACTGTGCTCCTGCAGACTGCGGCCCTGCTGGGGCTCCTTCTCCTGGGCTATGGCTACTTTTGGCTTCTGGTGCCAGACCTGGAGGCCCGGCTTCAGCAGTTAGGCCTCTTCTGCAGTGTCTTTACTATCAGCATGTACCTCTCGCCACTGGCTGACTTGGTGAGTGCAGTGGTCAAGAGGTGGGGAGAGAAGGGCTAGGCTACCTTAGCCAGAGACTGGCTGATATTCTAAAAGGGGGGGGGAGGCCGGGCAGTGGTGGCGCACGCCTTTAATCCCAGCACTCGGGAGGCAGAGGCAGGCGGATCTCTGTGAGTTTGAGGCCAGCCTGGTCTACAAGAGCTAGTGCCAGGACAGCCTCCAAAGCTACAGAGAAACCCTGTCTCGAAAAACTAAATAAAAAATAAAATAAAATAAAGGGGGGGAGGGGGGAAGACCCAGCTCCTGGAAGGAGGCCAGGCAGTAGAGGTGGGTGCGCAGGGTGCAGGAGAGGGCTGGGTGAAAAAGCGGAGGGATTTGGGTCTTTTTTCCACGGAAATTCCTAGGCACGGGTTCAGGAATGGTAATGTGGACCTGAACCAGGAGTATTTCTGCCCTAGGCTAAGATCATTCAGACTAAATCAACCCAGCGTCTCTCCTTCTCACTCACCATTGCCACCCTCCTCTCTTCCACCTCCTGGTCCATCTATGGATTTCGCCTCAGAGACCCATACATCACGGTAAGATCCCAGGTGGGACAAAGGAGTCTACGAGCCAACAGTCCCTGTCTTCATGGCAGCTCTGTGATTGCAGGTGCCCAACCTTCCCGGAGTCCTTACCAGCTTGATCCGCCTTGGGCTTTTCTGCAAGTATCCCCCAGAGCACGACAGGAAGTACCGCCTTCTGCAGACCTGACCACAGGCACCGTAGGGCCCACTTGATACCAAAAAGAGCTCCTGTTTCTGCTGGTCCTCCTGACCAATTCCACGGATGCAATGGGTTGTGAGGAAAAAAGTTGATTTTGAAACTAGAGGGATCAAAGAAAGACCTTTATGTAGATTGGATGGGACCTATGGGATGAAATCGCATTTTAAGAGATTATCTTTTCTCATTTTGGAGGCTGAGGTGGTATCTTTAGACTGTGCCTTAAAATAAAGTGTTCCCCACCCCTGCCCGCAGGGTTTGTGCTTTCTCCACGATTCTCAGCCTTCCTGACTCGATACAAGCTGAGTCCGTTGAGTCTGTGACTGGCCTCTGACAGACCTAGAAGTCACAAAGACCTGGAAGTCCGTTTAAAAAGGAAAAAACAAAAACTTGGAGGTTATAAAAGAATGGAAATTGGGTATACATACAGCCTTATGTGGGAAGCCTATAATCCCAGCACTTAAAGGGTTGAGGCAGAGCCGGGTGGTCCCAGCACTCAGGAAGTGGAGGCAGGCAGATCTCTCACTTTGAAGCTAGCCTGGTCTACAGAGTTTTGGGGCAGCCAGGGCTACACAGAGAAACTTGAACAAAACAAAGAGGTTGAGTCAGGAGGACTGCAAGGTTGAGGGCAGTCTGAGCAACACAAGTTGTAGGCCAAGTTGGGCTACTTAGTAAAACCATCCCAACAGATAAACAAAACAGGTTTGAGAATGTAGTTCAGTTGAGGGCTTACATGTTTGAAGTCCAGCAGGTTCAATCCCCAAACACATAATCTAGTCATGAAACCTCTGCCTGTAATTAGGGATGTCAGGCAGAGGTAGAGAAAGGCATCCTCAGACATATGTCTGGGATACATGGATACATGAGACCCTATTTCAAAAAGAAAAGAAAAAGATCTGAGAAGGGGACAGAGCACCACCAAAATGCAACGCTAAAGCCTAAGAAGGTGGCTCTCCTGCCTCCGCTTCTTGACTTCCGATATATAGAACCCCATTACCTAATCCCCAATACACAAGATACACAAGGCTAGAAACGAAAAACTGCACTTTAATGGGGAACGTGGAAGGATGTGCGGACGGAGTGGGTGACGGTGTCAGAAGCGTAGCCCCCTGCGGGCTAAATCCGCTCGGGCCTCCAGGATCTGGCTCTGCAGCTCTCGGGCGGCGTCCTCGCAGTCGTGAAAGGTGGCCACGCGATAGCCCACAGTGCCCAGGGCGTAGCAGCCAGCGGACACCAGCAGGTAGGCAGGCAGTGGCCACAGGACTTCCTGGCAAGGGAAAGGTAGCTCCAGGCCCAGAGCTCCCATGGTCAGGGCAGCCCAGGCAGAGCCCAGGAGCGCCAGTCCCCAAAGCCACTGGGTTAACTTCGTCATGGTCGCTGCAAGGAGAGGAATCTAGGTTGAGGATCCTATCGACCATTGCCCGCTCTGCATCTGACAAGCATTCCCATTCACTGCCACCCTCTTCCACTTTCCACTCAGCCCGCCACCTAAGCGTACCTCTGGGCGTCGCGTGAAGGTCCGCATCAGCGTCCGGAAGTCCTCTTCTACTACCGCTCTTCCTCCGCTCTGCCTTCTGGGAACTGTAGTTCTCAGTACAGCGCCTGGGGAACTTCCGGGCGCGCTCAGGTCCGTGAAGGTAACAGAGCGCTCTTTCGGAAATTGCAGGTTAAATCCAGAGGCGTTTTTGCGCTGTTTTTCTGGGCACCCAGATCTGGACTGACTGGTACTTGTGGAAAGTTTGAGGATAGGCCAAATGTTGCAATTCTCCAGTGCAGAGAGCACACTCATTTAACTATTAAATCATTCTTCCAACACTCCCACCAAACAATGTAGATCAACTCTACCACTGAGCCCTTTTTATTTTGAAACAGGATTTTACTAAGTATTTAGGATGACTTTGAACTCCAATTTGAGACCCTATCTGAAAGAAACAGGCTAGTCATGGTCGGAATGCCACATACCTGTGATTCCAGAGGAACGCAACAAAAGAAGAAAGGATCACTGAAGGATAAGATAAAGAGTTGCCTTTAGAATTCCAATTTAAACCAAACAAGAGGGGGGGTTTGTTTGATCTTGGGTATGTTTTGGTTTAACGTCTTTACGTGTGGATATGTGTGTCTGTGTGAGCACATGCTATATACATTCGGGTGCCTGCGGAGGCCAGGCGAGCCTATCAAATCCCCTGAGCTGGAGTTACAGGCAGTTGTGAGCTGGGTGACATCGGTGCGCAGATCCTGTGAAACTGCTCAAGAGAACTGAACTACTGAGCCATTTTCCCAGCCTGGGTTTTGTTTTGCTTTGAGACAGAGGCTAATAACTCCAGGCTGGCCTAGAGCATGGCCTAGCTGAGGACCCTGAACTCTTGATACTCCTGTGTCCGCTTTCCAAGTGCTAGGATTACAAGTCACCAAACCCAGCCTGAAGCAATTCTGTAGGGTTCAAGGTAAGCAGAAGAGTTGGGGGGCGGGTCAAGAAGTCCTGGACTAGGCTGGAGAGATGGCTCAGTGGTTAAGAGCATTGTCTGCTCTTCCAAAGGTCCTGAGTTCAATTCCCGGCAACCACATGATGGCTCACAACCACCTGTAATAAGGTCTGGTGCCCATTTCTGGCCTGCAGACATACACACAGACAGAACACTGCATACATAATAAATAAATAAATATTTAAAAAAAAAAAAAGAAGAAGAAGAAGTCCTGGACTAAGCCAGGAAAAGATGGCACACACCTAAAACACCAAGACTTAGGAGACAGGAGGATTATTCCAAATTCAAGGCCAATGGGAGCTACATAAGATCCTGATTTAAAAGAGAAACTCCGGCCTGAGTGGATTGAAAGTCCACTTGGGAACTAGAAAATGAAGATAAAGGCAGACTGTGATGCTCAGAGAGCCACCGTTCAAAGTTTTTTAGCTGGATGTGGAAATCCAGACTACCTTGGTATGTCAAAGAGGGATCCACAGGACTGGGGAGTCAGCTCAGCAGTTAAAGCACTGGCTGTTCTTCCAGAGGACCACGTGGCAGCTCACAACTGTCTGTAATTCCATCCAGTTCCAAGGTATCTGGCACCCTCACACAAACATACTTGTAAGCAAAGCACCAATGCATATCAAATATATTTTTAAAAAAATAATAATAAGTCTCCATATCATTTTTGTGAGCTGGCACCCAATGGAATATATGTCTACAAGAAAAAAAAAACTTACTTTCTCAAAGTCTTCACTGTTTATTGGCAATTATTATTTAAAAAAAAAAAAGAAAAGAAAAGAAAAGAAAAGAAAGTAACCAACGTTGCTCTGACGACCAGGCAAGAAGAGTAGCGTGTGCCGTTTCCATCAACTGATTTCAGATGGGGGGGTTGGAGTTGGTGTCTATCACTTTAGAAAGGGGAGTCTTAGCCCTGTGGCCTTGAATTTAATTAACAAACCAAGTTTTACAGAGTGACAGTTTTGGCACAAATTCCTAATTCAGCCTCAAAACATTTTGTTTGTTTTGTTTTCTAAGATGGAGTCTCACTGTGTAGTCCTGGCTGTCCTGGAGCTCGCTCTGTAGACCAGGCTGTCCTCAAACTCACAGAGATTCGTCTTTCTGCCTCCCAAGTGCTGGAGTTAAAGGAGTGCACCACCACCGCCAGGCTAAGTTTTTTAAATTTTGAGAGTATAATTATATCACTTCCCCCTTCATTCCCCTCCTCAACCGCTCCATTGCTCTCTTTCAAATGCATGGCCTCTCTTTAATTCTTTTAGGCTTATATTCTGTGCGTATCCATGTTGTACCGGTATGTACTTCCACACCTTGTGTATTTCTGTGTGTGTTTGCGTGGTGTATGTGATACCCAAGGAGGTAAGAAGAGGGTATCAGACCCCATTGACTTGGAGTTACCGATGTTTATGAGCAAAGCGTGTGTGACAGTAATTGAACACTGGCCCTCTACAAGAGCAGTATATGATCTTAACCTCTGCGCCATCTCTCGAGCCCCAGGCTCTTTTTCTTTAATTGTTGTTTTGTTACACGTGTATGTGTGTGTTCGCACTCCTGAGTTCAGTCACTGTAGTGTTACTTGTATGTTTCTAGGACTGACCTTTGGCGCGCTCATTTGGAAGGCTGTTTCTCCTGTTCTGAGGTTCCGTAGTCACCTGTAGTTGTCTCAGGTTGAGACCTCATGAGCTTTCCCTGCTCTGTCTTAGCGTGTTTACTCATGTGGTCCTGTTTAGGCTTCATGTTGCTTCTCTGACATTTCTAGGTGATGAAGCCCCAGACTGACCCACTCTTCCTCTGGTTCTCCTCATCTTTCTCTCCTCAGAATTCCTTCCTTCCTTCCTTTCTTCTTTCCTTCCTTCCTTTCTTTTTCTTTTAAGTTTTCTTAAATAGCCTTGCTTTGTAGCTCTGACTGGGCTAGCCTGGTACTCATTATATATCCCAGGCTAGCACTATTTACATTCCTCCTGAGCTCAGTTTTCACACCAATAACCATGTAAAAATTGATTACTAGTTTAGCTAAAAATTAGAATACATTGAAATTAAAAAGATAATAGGGAAGTGTGTAGGACAATGAGGATTAATGACAACTAGATCCCCATTTTATGGCCGGGAGTCTATTAGGAGACCACGCCAAGGCACAAAGGTTTCAATCCCTAATATCACCAAAAATAAACAATAAAAGAAACTGGAAAGAAGGAAAAATAATCATATAACCATATGTTATTTGGAAATATAAGTAAGGGGCTGGAGAGATGGCTCAGTGGTTAAGAGCACTGCCTGCCCTTGCAGAGGTCCTGAGTTCAATTCCCAGCACCTACATGGTGACTCACAACCATCTGTAATGAGGTCTGGTGCCCTCTTCTGGCCTGGAGACATACACACAAACAGAATATTGTATACATAATAAATAAATATTTAAAAAAAATAAAAAAAATAAAAGGGGGGCTGGAGAGATGGCTCAGTGGTTAAGAGCATTGCCCGCTCTTCCAAAGGTCCTGAGTTCAATTCCCAGCAACCACATGGTGGCTCACAACCATCTGTAATGAGGTCTGGTGCCCTCTTCTGGCCTTCAGGCATACACACAGAAAGAACATTGTATACATAATAAATAAATATTTAAAAAATAAATAAATAAATAAATAAAAGGGGGGACTGGAGAGATGGCTCAGTGGTTAGGAGCACTGACTGCTCTTCCAGAGGACCCGGGTTCAATTCCCAACACCCACATGGCAGATCACAACTGTATGAAGATCCAGTTGCAGGGGATCTGA